AACTTTACTTGAATGTGAAACTCTGACTGGGACTTATCAGAGTATCTCAATGTATTTGAAGATTACTATTAAAATATGCATAGAACAGAGATAAAGAGAAAAGATAATACTAATATTGTTCTATGAAAATATTTCTTTTAATTGTTTGCTTTCATATTAATCAATTGTATTGTTTAGTTCACGAGATACAAATAACATGTAGTATGAGAATATTGAAATTCTTTAAAAAATCCATCAATGATAATTAGATACTTGAATACTTTGATAATTTGGTCAAAACCACACGAATGAAAAGAAAGGGTCAGAGAATATAGTTAAGTGTATAAGATAACTTCAGATACAGCCTACTATTTAAGGTTGAAATATAAGCATTATTTGTTGCTTCATATAATGGAAATGGTGGTTGCTACTTTATTGTTATGGAACATGAAGATTTCATATGAATCTCTTGAAGCTATAAAAGATACATAAGAATTTTTTTATGCTTACTTTTTGCTTCAACTTGTATTTACACAAAGATTCAAAATGACATCCCTTTACCTAGATACTTAAAGATGCTGATGCTAATAGATATGGCAAAATCAATAAACAAGAGTGAAAGGATTTCATTCTTAAGCATCCACAATTCTTAAGGAACATAACTCTTTTATTTTTTGAAAATGAAAAAAGCTCTACTTTTTTCTATTAAAGAACATAACTCTTATGCATCCACAATTCTTACGGAACATAGCTCTTCCCATTTAAGGTGGCATTCTTACTACTTTTTGATCATAGTCAAAATTATGTTGACAATTATAGTAGAAATTGCTACAATTGTCACACCCTTCTTCTTCATTGTTCTTGAGACTGCATTTCCCAGTTTCATTTTTAACACCCAAGTGAAAGACTTACTTTTACACACCTCTTCTTACAAACGCGGAGTGTCAGGACGAATTATGCTCTTAAGGCTTGCATCAGAGGTACCATAACACCAATCATTTCTCAACCTTGCTTATCTGCTTGCCTGTGTTACGCTCCACCCTTCACTTTTATTTAACAGTATGCAGACCTTGTTTTCAAGATCTACCAAATTGCACAATAGGCACACTAAATCAATTTATGTCATCCATTGATTTCCTATTCCCAAAAAAAAAAAACAATCATTCTTCGATTGATACTGAAGCACGCCCACTCACAGCTGGGTTTATGTGCATTTTATCTACTTTTTTCTTTTCCTCTTTTTTCTTTGGGTAAAGAATATGTTTTAGACTGTTAAATGAGAAGAAAAATGAACAAATCATGCAACTGAAGCGGTGAAAATGCAAAAGGCACCAATCATTAACCACAGAAAGCCAAGAAACGGATGCACAATGATTAAAAACTTTACAGGCTAAACTAATACTAAAGCCAACCAAACATGGGATTTGGAACAGACATCAATTTCACATTTGTGAGTAATCAGATGACTTAAAATAGTCCAAATTTCACAATACAACAAGCCAACTCCTAAATGCTCCGGAGCAGAGAAGCAGCAGGATATCATCTGCTATTGGGAAAGGTAACCATAAAAATAAAACTAGAGACGCAATTATTCACAACAATAGCAAAAAGGAATCGTGACAAATTCAACTGTACTTCACATAATTTAACAACCAAGATAAGACAAAAAACACAGCTTCATACATGCCTCACGTATCATCTTACACAAGAAATACTGTTTATTTATTTATTTATTTATCTCCCATTACCATTATCTATTTTATTTACCAGTGATTCGAAAAACCTATTAGTGTTGTTTATGACAAGAAAAAGTATACATTTTCCTTTAAATGGGCGGCAAAACATTGTGCTGATAGACACAATTCCCTCTGAACCACCCATTTATGTGCAACTCCAACAACACACCAAATATTGAGAAATTTTCTCATGACTCTCCTTTAGTCTTGAACTAGATATTTATGGGTTTCCCCTGCAACCACAGATTGTCTTTTCCACTCCTCTCTCCCTCTCACCCCTCCTCCAGCCTCCCCCAGTGCCATGGTCTGTCACATCATGCGAGAAGTACAACAAAAAGCACAGTTGGTGTACCATCTGAAGGAGTAAGATGACATTATCCAATCTTGGGTTTAGTGGATATAAACATACTCCTTGTCATCATATTAAAAATTCAGTGAAAAATGACTTATCAAGCCATATGACTCGTAATGCTCCATAGAGCCTTGCATGCACCAAACATAAGACACAAATAACTTCATTGTGCCTGCGTACTGGTGTATATCTTATCCTCCTTCCTGTCCAATCTACAAAACATATACTTCTTTCACATGGAAGAGGAGACATCTGATTTGGTCCCCTATTTTCACAAATATGCGTACCTCATGGAACATCTGCATAACATGAAAACAAAAAATTAGGAAAAACTAAGTTGGCAGATATCAAAAATAAAATATAAGATATCTATCTACTAAATAAGGTTTCAAGAATATATAAGCATCAAGATCTTCTAAAAACTTGAAACTGGTCAAACGGTCATAGAAGATTACACAAGCAATATACATTCTAACAGAACAACGACAGTCCATACCCCTTGCTTCGCTGTCCCAATTCATGCAGCTGCTTATATCTAAGGATATGTTACCTAATCCTTACTAGGTAGACCATATAATTTCTCATTCAATGCTCCTCCTCATTCCAATATGAACAAGAGCTAGACAAAGCCAAAATTCTCTCAAACAACTCCTCGTCTGTCTTGTCATACTTTACCATAGCCAGTAAATATTAGGCAACAAATGTAAGCACATGTTTTCCTGCCCCAAGGACCTTCACTTCTCTTTGCATCATTGATGTATTCTTCACACAATTATTCTAACTGTATAGGCAAACTTGATTTTAGTGAGACCAATGGACAGTTCTAGTCATCCAAAATAATGCCCACAACATTCACTTTATTAGACAACTCAGCCCAAAAAGAGAGAGAGAGAGAGAGAGAGAGAGAGAGAGAGAGAGAGATAACAAACTTCCAGAAGAGCAACTCCAGAAAATTAAAAGCAACCTAGAAAACTCAGACAAATAGCAATAAGAATTTTTAGGTGGAATTGGCAACATCCAACAAGAACCAAGTACTTTCACTCCCTGCATTTACTTACGGCCAACAAAATCTTCAACTTTCATCAACTGATACTATAGCAGATATTCTCTTTGCACTTCAGTAATCCACTTAGAAATAAATTATCCAATGCAAACAGGCCGCAATTGAAAGCTACCATAAAACCTGACCCCTTCAAAGCCTCAGGACATGAACAAAAGTGATAATCTGTCAGGAAGACATTTCATCTTCACAAGACATTCCTACCAGGCATTTTTTTCTTTGAAATAAAAAGTATGAAATACATTAACAGGCACTAAGGAGATGTCAACCCACATACATATTATTTACATATCCACCAAAATGTCAACAACGTTCCCTAAATCCTCCATAAAATAGAGGATGACCCAGAATAAAAAATGTAAAAGGTCTGGAACCATATATTCTTAATTCTACCAAAATCCTCCACATCATCAACTCCCTCAAAAACTCTTAAACTCCTCTCCTTTTACATCATCCAAAAAATGGTGAGTGGAATAAGGTCCACAAATTTTCTTTGCCGGCTGATGCTCTTCCATGCCCATATTTCATCTCTGACCATACCCGCCATTACCCAACTAATACCCAATAAACCGTAAACCATCGACCATCGCTTGTATGCATCCAGACACCATAAAAGAACATGACTACAAGTTTCTGCAGCATCTTTACACATGTAACAACCATTTACCATAGTCATTCCTCTTCTCATTAATTTGTCAATGGTCAAGATGCAACCCCTTACGACCTCCCACACAAAGAAGACAATTCTGGGAGGAACTTTAACCGTCTATATATGTCTAAAAGGGAACTTGGTACCATCATTTTCCTGCTTAGTCAGATGCTTATAATAGGATTTTATCGAGAAGGCTCATGTATTAGGGGGCTCCATAGTGGTTGGTCAGTACTGCCATCTGATGCAATGGTAGACATGGTACCTAGGAGATTCTCACATTTCTAGCAAGCATTATCCACATTTGTATCTTAAAAAGGAGGTACATTTCTTCACGGCAATTATTCAATCCCCAAACTATCAAGTAAAATAAAAATATCTCACCATCCTTGAGAATGAACATTCAACTGCCACTTCCAATGAGCATACTTCAATTAGGATAACCATGAAGACAGATCACATTTAAAATATGAGCAACTACTACAATGTAGGAATTATCTTGCATGAACAATATCCAGAATAGTAGTAGGCTAAATCTAAAATTGACTACCCCTATATCCTAGTCAAAGCAGTATGAGCTTAAAATTTGGGAGAGATGCATGCAATAAACTACCGGCAGCAATTCATGGAAAGACTAATGCGCCTGGATGCAAGAACTGAAATCAGAACCACTAAAAATCTGCTTCAAAGTGAGTATCACATACAAAAAAAACAGGAAAAGAATTACCTACTAGGGTAGAAAACTCATTGAGCAGCATAATAGCATAAAGTGTCTCTTTTTGAAAAACTTTTGGCTTGAAAAATAAACATGAATTCCAGATTGACGAATCTCGTACTACAGAGACAGAATACTTGCCTATTGTAAAGCTCAGTAGTTATCCCTTGTCACATAGCAGGCCTACCATCCTTCAGCCATTGCGGGAACATCATTATGGATACAAAAGCAGCTTGTGATCATGGAGGTGATCAGAATATCTTGACTATTAATAAGATCACCAGAAAAGAATCAAATGAACGACAGGAGAAAACAAGAATTGTTGAGATACTGCAAGTACAACCATGGATGTTATGTAGGAGAACTGGATCGAGGGTACGGCAAACACATCATTCAAATCCCAGCAAACCACTGTTATATTGTATCCAATCTCCAAACACATTCTACATAAATATAATCAAGATACAAGTTTACCATCAAGAGAGCCCATCCAAGAACTCAGGTATACTCACCTTCTTCATTTGAGTACAGAATATTTCACCATTGTGCCACTCCCTGTCCCCAAAAGCCAAATCCAACAAATTCCTCTAATAGAGAAAAATACCAACTTTATCATCCATTATTCCAGAATCTAACCGGCCAAAAAAGACAAAACTAACCTCAGCCTTTCGAATGGAGAAAACTACTGGAAGTCATCATTAATTCAATAAAACCAAAACTAACCTTTCCCTGCAAGCTAAAGGCCTAAAGAATTTACAAAGAAAAGCAAAAAAGGATGTGCAAACAAGTCTTGATTTGGTTTATGCTTCATGGTTGTAGGTTCTTGGCTTCGGAATTATAAATCACGGTCAACACTAAATGCCAACTACGTTGGACCAGAAAATGAAGGTCTAAGAACTTGATCCACTAAAGGGAGGAAAAGATGAACAGCTTCATATCCCATCCATTCTTTGCAACTTTTATTTTTTCCATCCTGAAGATCATCATCAGCAAATACTAAATGCTGCTTATACTTATCTTAGAGCTCTATATAAGGCAGCTCTAGCAACATAAGAGAAAAGCTAAATCATACCAAGAACTTCCTCATCAGCACATTTTCAAGATATAACAATAAGACATCGCGTGATCCATACATGCGATAAGAAAAATATTTGTCCATCATACAAACCAAAAAGATGAAAGCATCCATGCCTTCAGTTCTCCAGCAACATTTGTACGAACTACCCTATAAGTGCAACTTCGCAGTAAAGGAAAATAAAATGAAAAGTGAGGGGTAGTATGTTTTGAGCTTCTGGGTATAGGAAGAGTTCCCAATATCGAAAACCCCTAACTCCAGCTTAGGTCCATGCTTCATACATGACAATGAATCTCAATCAACAGCGACATCTGAACATATTGGTGTTAATTTTGATAAGATTGGAGCTTTCATCGTCGATACCAAAGGGATACAACCTTCATTACTTCCCTCCTAAGAGAATGTTGACAGCAGAACAGTTTTCTTATAAAATAGCATTTTAGGTTGATGTCAGCATCCATTCTCAAGAATCTTTATTCCATGTAATACTGCTTAAAATATATAAACTCCAAAGTGCGCTTCCTAATGGTTAATTAATATCCAATAATATTTAAGGAATCTACACAACTTTTATAGAATGATATCCCCTCAGAATCTCCTAGATAAGCTTTCAACAATTGTCCTTTCTTCTGACAGGAAAAGAATTTCCAGAAAAAGAACATGTCCCTAGACCACATGAGCTATTCTCGACCAATAAAATAAATAAAGCCAAGCAGATGAGATATAATAGAACAGAACAAGTCATTTAAAAGTACAGCCAACAAAGTTGAATCTTGATCTCAGATATATATGGGACACAAAGCCCCTACTAATCAAGAAAAGCAAGTAACTTATATAATAAGTTTTTTGGACTAACTAGAAATGGATTCAGATAAAATCTACTGATCTGGCAAGCATACACAGATGACAGACACTTGCTGCTCCACCATGTGAGAGTGGCAAACAAGCATCAAAGAGTAACAACTTCCCCTTTGTTTAATCCAACCATGATTATCCATCTCAACGACGAGTCAGGCGAGATTTCTCCCATGAAGCAGGACCTGGGCCGTACAGAGGGCCTTTCTCAGCAGCACCCTGAGAAAAAAGGTGAAAACATAAGGAAATTCACTACTACAGGAAAGTTTACAAATACACCAAAAAGCAGTCAACTTCAAAAGCTTATGAGAATAAATACCAAATGACCACCATATCCATCTCCATAAGGCGCAGGAAAAGCCCCATCTGGACTGTTGAACTTCATTCCATATGGTCCCCCTTCAATCATGACATGCAAAGATAAAGAAATTACCACCAATAAGAAAACAATACTGCCCCAGAATTTTCACTTAATATGGACTAGATATTCGTTAATTTTTTAACTTGATGATGACAAATATTTAAAAAAAAAGACATTGAGGATGACAGCAAACAAATAACAGGACAGAAAGATTCATTTCAAGAATTCAATCTACTTTTGCCAACTCAATAATCTGTGCTTAAACGAGTGAATTTAACCTGTGATTAGCACAGTAGCAAAGATAAAGCCATATATACATGCAGGTATGAAATCTTGGAAGCAGAAAAATCTACCAGCATCATACGAGAAAAAAACTGCTTCAGTAAAAATGAAAATAAAAGATCAAGCATTTCCAACAAACATAAAACAACAGCAGATCATACCAGCACTCCATGGTCTAGCATCAACAGTAGCAAGTTCTGCACGGAGCTTTTCAACTTCACGTGCCATTGAAACCAAGTTCTTCTCCATGTTCTGTCTCTGCTCCACCAATTCAAAGTTTGCCTTCTTCTCATAATCAATGGCGGCTCTATAAGATAAAATATCCAACTCTAGCATTTATCAGTTATTTAAAAAAAATTACATTTAATAAGATATTATGTTAAATTACCATAAAAAAAAGTTCATATTAAAAGTTAAGCACCAAAGATTTTAAAAGAGAGCAAGCAACAAATGGAATTTAAACACAGACCTAGCATGCATAAGTTCCTGGTGCAGTCCCTCAATCTCTCCTTTTAGAACAGGAATCTGTTGATTATCTGCTTGCAATTTTGCAAGGTCTTGCTTGAGATTCTGAACTTGTCCAGAAAGTTCCTGCCTAATGTTATTAAGCTTCTGAACTTCTGAACGGAGTTGTGCAGCTTCCTTTTTCAAAGGATCAGTTGCACGAAGATCTGCCTCAAGCTTTAGCCCTTTCTCGATCAGTTCCCTAGAGTGCATCTCCTGTTCTTTGCGAATTTGAGCAATGACAAGGTTCATGCGATGAAGCTCCTCCTTTGAACCACCAAGCTCTCGCTGCAAAGCCATTCGATCCTCAACAAGCCTGCGATTATCATTCAAGAGCCTCCGGATTTCAGCATGCTGTAATTCAAGCTCTTCTTCCAATAAGGCAGGGTGAGGAGGTGGCTGCTGCAAAGGAGGGCCAGGGATGAAATGTCTTTCAGCAGGTAACCCCCGTCGGTCATTAAAATTTTCACGAATACTTCTATTTCTTCCCGCCATTTTGAGTTACCCTGTACAAGAATGTAGTTGAAGTGATATCTAGCACAGTGAAGCATTTCACAAACTAAAACTTCCAAAAGCACAAACAAGAATTTGTGAGGGTCTCCCAAGTTTTCTAATAAAGCTCGAGATTCAGATTACTGATAATTTCTGTGAAATTAGATAAAGGAAATCAAATGAAAACTAAAAGTAAGTGAAGGATTAAGGAAATTTATGAAAACTAGAGACATGACTATGTAACAACTTCAATGAAAACAGACCATCATGAAAACTTAGTGCGAAGGGTTTTGCCAAAAAGTAGCATATCTAGCTGTTAAGCCTTACGAACCAAGGGCAAACAATCCTTAACAGATATACAAAATGTATTGATATATAGATACATAAATATATATATATACTATAAGTAAAAGTCAAACCTATATATAAGTAGAAGTCAAACCAACTCATGCACTAGAATTGAAAGTCTATGTCCTCATTTTGCTTCAATTTTTAAATTGACTCATGAAAACTGCAACACCTAAATAGGTCAGTGCAGAAATTATGTATACGTATCTGTAACAAAAGAGAAATTTCAACATGCATCTGGAAACATATATAAAATTAGCACGTAAAGTTACATATAAATATATGACTCAAAACCTACTCCTAGCCTCCCTTGCAAACCTATATGCATACACAAAACCTAATCCTAGTCTCCCTTGCAAACCTATATGCATACATATCCAGATGCATATTAATACATACACACATATGAGAGAGAGAGAGAGAGAGAGAGAGAGAGAGAGAGAGAGATTTCTACATATCCAGTCCTAATGAAATAAACAATATGTTGCCGTGGGTAGTTGAAGACGTATATGAAGTATAGATAATAGTTGTACTAATTTACATATCAAATATTCACATAATCAGTTCGAACTCCAACAGATCAACAGCTAAACATACCTTGCATTTTAGCACGCCCAAAAAAATGCATAAAACCCTAATTACTTGAAATTTATACTCCTCTGTCTTAAAAAAAAAACTTTATTTCAGCTACCGGCCGTCTAAAATTAATTTATTCTTCCTTTCATGTAATCAAATGGAAAACTGAGAAATCAAAATTAAAAATCGGGTATCAAATCAAAAATATTTCACCAATTTGGTAGTTATTCGTCTTGACATCAACAGGCAACGAGGAGATAAGCAAAGAAAACATGATTATTAGAATGAACACCTTAAACCTGCGCTGATATTTGGTTGTCTTTGCTCGCAATTGATGGATGATTAATATGTGCCGAAGAAAAAACCCTTGTATGTTTCTCTGCACTCTCGCGTTACGGAGATATTTAGGTGAAAGTTGGGGGGAGAGGGAGGGATTTTATCCAAGCGGTTTTCGAAGTGGACTAAGTTAGGAGAGAAGGAAAAAAAAAAATCTCTAACGACGACGTTTCATTGCTTTCAGTGAAAAAGTATAAGCTGGGTAAAATGTTAAAAAAAAATTAAAAATAGTAAAAGAAAATATATTTTGTTAGGTAAAATTAAAAATTATTTTTTTGCCTTGACAAAGATAAAAGAAAATTTTGAAGATATCTTATATGAAAGAGATGAACAATATCATCTTTTATTAAGTTATCAATTTAAAATTTTCAAATAAAATCTTATTTTTATTATAAATAATATTTTATTTAAAATATGTAATATTTAGGCCTGGAATTTGGTTTGAGATTAATTTTAACATTTTTAAAATGTATAAGAATTTATTTTTGAAATTAATAAATTTTAATTAATGTAGAACTATAGGAAAAAATAGGTTGATTATGAAATTGAAAATAATTTTAGAAAAAAAATGTGAAAATTTGGGTTCATATGATGTTTTTGAAAGAAAAATCGAAAATTATAGGTAAAAATACAATTAAAGAAAATTTTGCCACATATGACCGCCCATTAAGAAGGCTTAACGAACCGGAGTGTGCCGCGTAGCAAGGCGCGCTGACTCGATGCCACGCGGGAGGCCACTCTAGCGATCTGTGTGCTCTACAATCGAACGACCCAGAACCGTTCCCGCGTGCGTGGACGGTTCGGATTCGTTACCTCCTTAGGCGCAATCGGACAGTCGCAATCAAACGCGATGAATGGCTCAGATTCGTTCCCTCTTTAAACGCAATCGGATGGTCGAGATCAAAACGCGATGAAAGTTTCAGATTCATTTCCTCTTTAAACACGATCGAATGATCGAAATCAAACGCGATGAACAATCCAGATTAACGCGAGACAGATATAAATATTTTACATCATATTGAACCAAACCCTAGTTGTCAACCTCTCGGAGAAGAAGAATCAGTCACCGGAAAAGCCAACCGCCGACCGCCGCTGCACTAGAGCTATCTCCGACCGTCAAAAAAGATGAAAATTCTTCTATCCACTCGGAATTTGATTATGAGAATCCTCACAGCCAAATCAGAGCAAAAGGAATGGCGGGTGAGCTAAAAACAGCGGGTAAAGCCCAGTGGCGGCACCGCCACGGGCAAAACTGGTAACTTCCACCGATGAGCCCCTTCATGTTTTCTGTTTCGTGTGATTTTTCACCGTTATGTTCACCGTTCTGTTTTCTACAAGTTGATCGAAGAAAAACTCCCAGTCGCGAAGGTGAGTCGGTGGAGTCGCCGCACCCAGAAAATTCCACTACTGGTAGGTTTTCGTTTTTTGGTTTTTTCAGCCAACCGAGGCCCCCTAACGTATTTTTTCGCAGGGATATGAATAAAATCAGTTGAAATTAGCCAGAACTGGCCGAAACAGCCAGGCTGAGGCAAACTGCCACCGCAGGCGGTGGTTCCGTCACCGAAGCACGATGGTGCCGCTGTGTCGGAACCCCGAAATTGGCTGAAAAGGGTTTTTTTACCTATTTTGGATTCCTAGGATATTTTTAGGAACGTGAAACGTATTTTAATCTCCACAAAAAAATTCAAAAAACCTGGGAGACCGCCAGTAAACGTAGTAGAAAGTTCGGTATTTCGGACACCGATTCAGATTATAATCTCTCACTTTATTCTATGTTATGGAATTAAAGCTTAATAATCGATAATATGGTACTTTGTGTAATTTAGAAAACTTTGAGAATAATTACAGGTTACTAATGAAGCCGGAACTAGTTAGTTATTTATTTATTTGTCCTG